AGAACCGTTTTGAGAACTTTAGTAAACCATTGGTTTTAATTTTGTTTTAAGTAAAAGAAGTATTTTTGTCAGAATGTTTGGTTCCTATATTCAAATCAATTCGCTCGCTGTTCTCTCTGCTTTTTTTGCAGTATATATATTAAAATGTTAAAGATGACGATTTATTAATAGATACTTTGCTATTCGGACCAGCATGCTCATCTTCATTCTTAAATTTAGAACATTTTGGCGCTGTTATATCCTGCTTTCGTTTTGCATATATGTCGAAATGTTAAAGATGACGATTTATTAATAGATACTTTGCTATTCGGACCAGCATGCTCATCTTCATTCTTAAATTTAGAACATTTTTGGCGCTGTTATATCCTGCTTTCGTTTTGCATATATGTCGAAATTTAAAGATGACGATTTATTAATAGATACTTTGCTATTCGGACCAACATGCTCATCTTCATTCTTAAATTTAGAACATTTTGGCGCTGTTATATCCTGCTTTCGTTTTGCATATATGTCGAAATGTTAAAGATGACGATTTATTAATAGATACTTTGCTATTCGGACCAGCATGCTCATCTTCATTCTTAAATTTAGAACATTTTGGCGCTGTTATATCCTGCTTTCGTTTTGCATATATGTCGAAATGTTAAAGATGACGATTTATTAATAGATACTTTGCTATTCGGACCAGCATGCTCATCTTCATTCTTAAATTTAGAACATTTTGGCGCTGTTATATCCTGCTTTCGTTTTGCATATATGTCGAAATGTTTAAGATGAGGATTTATTATTGTATTCTTTAATGTTCGTTGCAGCAAACTCATCAGCGTTCAGATCATTTCAGTCGTTATATTTCCGGCTTCCGTGCAGTTTATATGTTTTAATGTTTGAGATGAGAATTTATTATTATATTCTTTGCTAAACTTAGTTTTGTTTAACAAATCCCGAATTAAAGAAGGACTGCTACCCAAATCTATCTATCTATCTATCTATCTATCTATCTATCTATCTATCTATCTATCTATTTTTATTATTATTATTTAATCTATCTATCTTTGTTTGGTTATATCTATCTATCTATTTATCTATCTGTCTAGGATTATTTCAATAATCTATCTATCTATCTATCTATCTATCTATCTATCTATCTATCTATCTATCAATCTATTATTATTATTATCCTTATTTCAGTCTATCTATTTATGTCTGATTATATCTATCTATCTATCATTATTATTTCAGTCTATCTATTTATGTCTGGTTATATCTATCTATCTATCTATCTATCTATCTATCTATCTATCTATCTATCTATCATTATTATTTCAGTCTATCTATTTATGTCTGGTTCTATCTATCTATCTATCTATCTATCTATCTATCTATCTATCTATCTATTATTATTTCAGTCTATCTATTTATTTCTGGTTATATCTATCTATCTATCTATCCAGGATTATTTCAATAATCTATCTATCTATCTATCTATCTATCTATCTATCTATCTATCTATCTATCTATCATTCTCGGTCCTATCATTATCTATATATTTTGATGACATTGTTTATACTAATTTTACCGACTGCAATTTCTCAGCGAAACCAGCTTCATTCGTTGACATTTGAAATTTAATTCCCTTTTCTCTGCCTTTGTTACTCACTCTTTGATTCCAGACTATGTGTTTTAGTTTGCTTTTTAAGATGTCTGACACTACCATGTTCCCGTTCCTTAAAATATTTGACAAATGCAACAACGCTGGCGAAAGGCTCACAGCCGAGAAACACTTATCACGAAGAAACAGACTTTAATGCTGAAAACAGTTTTTTTCAGCCGTATTCCTTTCTATTTTCTTTTCAAGTGCTTTTTCTCCCACCCCTTTTAAAACTTTATTTATTTATTTAAGCATGCAAGGTGATGAGTGAAAACGCTGGATATATTATGAAAGCTTATTCAGTTAAAATATATATTCTATTTTGATTTGTTTATTTTTTTTCATAAGAAATTTTGGAAAAGGAACAGGCAGAGATACCTAGCACCAGAAGTAACGAGGAAATAGGAATTATTGCTTGTCACTTCGTTCAGTTATATTTTAAATCCAAAGAAGTATCTGCAATGATATTCGTCCTGACCTGGCATCTCTGCTTCAGTCACTTTCCAACCGCCGTAACGTATCAGGTCATCCCATAAGTTCTGTCCGAATTTTGAATAAAGAAAACAAGTGACCAAATGTTGCATTTAATTACAGATTCAATCAACAATGTATCTTCCCTGATTATCTATGACTTCCTTCCATCTTAACAAGCTTACTAATTCCATTACTGTAAAATTCTTTTGGCTTTGATTCGAAGAACTCAAAAATCTCAGTTTTGACTTCTTCCTGTCTTACAAAAGATGTTTCTTCTAAATGATTCTGTAAACTGCGAAACAAATGGTAGTCTGAAGGAGCAAGATCGGGAGAATAAGGTGGATGAGGAATTTTCTTCCAACCAAGTTCTTCGATCTTTTGTGGCGTGATTCTTGCTGTGTGGGGTCGCGCATTGTCCTGATGAA